ACCTGCCCCAGGGAGGTCCAAGTGTTTCTGCCTCCGTGGTACCCTGTGGGTGATGTGAGTTATCCCGGGTGACATTCCAGGAGCTTTGTAGCACAGAGGGTTGCCGGAGCCAGGGAAGGGACAAGGCCAAGGGCTTCTCAGCGGGACAACACAAGCGTGGGACTTTCTGACAAGTGGTAGTGTGGGAGACCTGGTTTAGGGAATTTTTACTGAGATTTTGGGTGGCCATGTCAGGTTGTGCACAGCCCCAGTGAGAGATGTTGTTCTTTGTCTGCTCAGGCTGACAAGGGATAGTCAGTGTTAGGGAGGGGGAGCAAGGAGCAGTGGCATGGACAGACCCTTCAGGTGTTCCTGACACTGGGGAGCAGGTTGGCTCTCAGTGTGGTCAGGACATGGCACTTTGCAGCCCACCCTGCTCCAGGCCCCAGGCAGGAGCAGAATCACGGGTTCCCTGGGTGAGGAGAGCAGCAAGAACAGCCTGTGCTGAGCCGCAGGCTGGGGACAGGCTGGGCAGCACCAGAGGTGGCTCCGAGCCAGTGCTTCTGGCCTTCTCTTTACTCCACAGCCACATTCCAGCTCTGGCTGGCTAACCCACCTCTGCAATCCAACCCTATGTGCTCTGGCTTTGCTAATCAGCCAAGGGTTAGAATAAGAGCCGGCAGAGATAGTGAGAATCAGCCCATCCCTGTTAAGTCCATATATTCCCAAGCAGAATGTAAGTGCAACTGTAGGACTGGAAATATGCTTTTCTTTGGCTTTGGGTCAACGTACCTCCATCCTTTTCCACAGTCACTCATATTAGATTGGATATTAGGGAAAATTTCTTCGCAGAAAGGGTGGTCAGGCACTGGAACAGGCTGCCCAGAGTAGTGGTGGAGTCACCATCCCTGGAAGTGTTCAAAAAACATATGGACATGGCACCCGTGGGCACGGTTTAGGGGCTTGGCAGTGCTGGGTTAATGGTTGAACTTGATGATCTTAAAGGGCTTTTCCAACTTTAATGATTGCATGATTCTGTGGACATCTACCCAGATACCGAGCTGACAGAAATGGACCCTCTTTTCTAGTAAGACACTGTCGGTGCCACACACAGGCCCTGCTTCTACTGCCATGTCCTGCACTGACCAAGGCAGGGTCTCACTTTAACCATCATTCTGTACAGATGTGTCCAACTGTTGAGCCACCATGTTCCTCATGTCCATCTTGGGGTTCCTCTTAGTTGACAGTGATGTGGCATTTGGGTCAGTCTTTACATCTTTGGGAGTCATGATGGACTCAGCCTCTTGCTGACTCCAGCTTCCATAAATCTTAGGCACGACAAGTGCACATTGTCCTTGTGTTCAGGGCACCTTCCTGTCAGGTGAACAGGAAGAGGAACAGCCCCTGCTGTGTGCTGTAACCTCGTTTCCCTGCTCCCGTGACCCAAACAACTCCTCTGCTGACAAGGCATCTCTCCAGGAACCTTCTGGGCTCCAAGAGAGGAGCGCCTTCCTCACAGCTCAGCAGGACTGGATCCTTCACTTTCCATTGTTGAGCTGCAGCCATCTCTAAGGTGGCAATAGCAAGGATCAGGAATGCCACATCAGTCATTTCAAGGTCTTCTCCAGCCACACCTCAAGGCCAACAGAATCACACAGGCTACAGCAGAGCAGGCTGTGGCCCTCCTCTCCTAGACTCGGAGGGGCAATAATCACGAGCTCCCATCCTAGGCTTGGAGGGGCAATAATCACGAGCTGATTCTCCAGTGAGGCTTTGCTGCAGAGTGTCTGAGACCCCAGTTCACCAAAACTGTCTTGAATCACATGGGGAAGGGTCATCAGTTTACCAGCAGGACAACCCTGAGCAAGCAACAACATGGGAGTGGGCATACCACCCTGGATGGACCCTTGGCTGCTTCCTCCATCATTCTGTGCCTTCATTGCCTGGAAACTCAGGGATCCCAGCTCCCTCCTGCTCCCCACCATTCCCTTGCTCTGCAGTCCACTTGCCTGAGCTTACAGCACCTCTCATGGCCTTCCATGCATTGCCTTCAATCCCACCCTGTCATACAGCAGCCATGAGCGTCCCACCCATGAGAATGGGAAGAAGAGGGAGATGCTGGAGGGAGAAAGAGGGATGATGGAGGTGAATGGCTGGTCAGTAACATAACGTAGTTGTGCTGGTGGCACAATTGTTCATTTGCATTTCCTTGGGGTGTTGATGCTGATATTAATTAAAAGCAATTATAGTGCCACTTTTTCAGTACAAGAGCAGCATACAAAGGGAAAAGTAGTGTTACACACCAGCATGCTTCTTCTTCCAGAGCTTCAATGGCATCGTTTAGTATGAGGAACCTGCTGGGTGAGGGGAGGCCTGGCACCCAGACATTTTCCTCCTCCCACATATCAGATGTGCAAAGGGGTGCCTGGATTGGCACTGTTCTTGGGTGTCTGGGGTACCCTGAGAGTGCTGGTGACAGGCACAGACGTGATGAGTGATGTCAGCACTGAACAGATACTTCCATCCCAATAGCTACTGGATGCTGGGCGCTTGTGGTGGATATCTGTGCACCCAGGAGGGATGCTGAGACCATTCCTAGCAGATGCTGATGGCTTCCATGATGGACATGAGTGGGTCTAGTGGTACATAGTGCTACCCTCCATCACAGCTTTAGAGCAGGACAGCGATAGCAGGTGACAGAGATCAGTGGTGCTGGTGCTCTGGGCGGCTGGAGGCAGCACTGGCCATGGATACTGGCTGTGCTGGTGGCTGTCACAGGCTCTACACCTCTGAATCACTGGCTCAAACCTAGCACAGCTCACTAGTAGCTGGAATTCACCTTTCCCATGGAGAGAGCTGTGAAACGGCCAAATGGTGTCAGTGCAGTGGCTGCTGATGGCTGTCTGTGGGACCTGGACGTGTCACAAGTAGTCCTGTCACAGTCACACAGAGCTGCATCCACACAGTGCTGGGAGCAGTGGGCTGTTGGCAGCGACCTGGCACCTCACTGACATCTTGAGCTCAGGAATGTCTGGATTTGGGGTGGGGAGTTGTTCCTTGCTTTTAAGAGCTGATATCTCCACAACAGAGGCCTCCTGGGTTAGGAAGGGGCACATGAGCTGCACTTTCTGGATCAGCATGTGTCTCTGCTTTCATGGCCCTGGCCCAGACTCAGCAGCAGGAAACAAAAAAACAGGTGTTTTGGTGTAGAAGACAGATGAGCTCTGGGGGCAGATGTGGCTGCCCTTCCTCCTGTTTGGCTGTCCCAGGGCCTGCACCTTTCCTTTAATCATTCTCTCCATAGTATTGGGGTTCAGGTGGGAAGGTGATGAGGGTTTGTACCAGATTTAGGAGGGTGGTCTTCTGATTTTCCCAGGCTTTCCATTCTTCTGTCTGTTGGGATATCCGCCATGAGAGCCTCTCAGTGGACAAAAAGTCCTCTTATTCTCTACTTGCACTGTACCTATCCATCTATCTAGTCTTTGCTTCCTTGGAGCACATTCTAAGGAGGACTTTTGAGCCTGTTTGAAGGAAACACGGTGCCTCTGCCATAACCCAAGCATAAATGCACCTGGGATGTCTGTAATCCACCCAGGTATGAGTTAACCTGAGGATAAAACCCCTGTTGCTGGACGGTGGCAGGTGACAGAGCGGAGTCTCATGGGCACTGAAGTGCCCATCTCTCTACAAAGAACTGTTGTTTCATCTCTGGCACTGGGGCACCAGTTTGGTCATCTTTTGCATCATCAGAGAGGCAGTCAGGCCCAGTACTCAGATCCAGCTTTCTTTGAAAAATTGCCAAGGTTCATATCCTTGTCCTGGTTTTCCATGTATCCTCCCAGCCAAGAAACTGGGGTTCACCTATTTTAATCCCCCCTTGAGCTCTAGACAGGCCTTCTCAAACCCAGATGGCCACCTCTGTTCAATTTGGAATGAAAAAGCTGTCCTAGGAAGGCTGACTCCTCTTTTGAGTTCCCAGGCCATTCCCATCTCTTACTTCCCAGCAGCAAGAGGCTGAGTTCCTCAGTTTGTCCCAGAACCTCATAGTCCAGGACAGAAAGGCTTGGATATTTGTTAATGTAAATCCCAAATAGTATTTAACCTCACTGATTAGGTAACTCAGGCTATGTTCACTGTGTGGTGCATAGGATTTTGAGGACACTAAGAATCACTGGGGGTTTTTCCTTTCTTTATTTACCTGACTTTTCCTGCAGGGAGTATTTTTCCAGTTGTTTGCAGTGTGGCTGATGGTGGATGGCAGGAAAGGAAGAAGCACAAGGCTTTAGCTGCAGCACAGTAGCACCTAGTGACCAGATGGGAGAGGTTTACAGGGTTTCCAGTGTGAGCTGCTCGAGCAGGGGTTCAATGAGCAGCATCACTAGGTGAGAGTCAGACGCGGGTTTTGGCAGTGCATAGCTGGGACATGCCAAAGGGAACACCAAAGGCTGCCATCTGCCACCCCAGCCAGGTGTTTATCCCCAGGATATTCCTTTGTGCCTCTCCAGTGTCTGCTCTCCCAGGGCTCAACTCAAGGGCACAGCCCAGAGCATGAGGCACAGAGGGTTACAGGATCCCCCCTGCCCAGGGCTGCAAAGGGGGTCCTTAGGGGGTTATTCCATGACAAAGAAACAAGGGCAGGAAAGTCAAAGGGCACTTTCCCATGAAGGGGATCACCCCAGTCATGAGCCCCCAGACAAGGAGCAGGGGCACTTTGGATGTTTTCCTCCCCACTTGGCTGATTTCCAGTCCATCCTCTCAGTCCATGTGACCCACAGAGGGACATGGGACTCACTTCCACATCTTCCCCTGCTCCCATGGGCATTGCCTCTGCTTCCTCACATAGGGTGCTGTCTCCTGTTTGCCCTGTGTCTTTGCTAGGACTGAACTGGCACAGTCTCAGTGTCAGGCAGAACTATCCTGTGTTTATGGCATCGAGATTGTGGCTTGGGATGTTCATCAGGAAGATGCCTCTCTGATCTCTGTGACCTGAACATATTTTCCCTTTTCTCTCTGCCCAACAGGTCTTCATGAGGGACAGCCCTGGAGCCCAGAGAGACACATGGTGCACAGTATACTGAATCCGGCCTAGTCCTCTAGCCCAGCAAGCTGTGAGAGGTACAGTATGGCCCAGGGGTGACTTTGGGACTACAGAAACAGGGATGTGGGGGACAGACCCAGCTGTGTGTTTGTGGACAAGGGTAGTGGAGCAGGAGGGAGGAGGAGACTGGGGAAGGGGAGCTGGGAGGGTGATTCAATGACAATTCTCCAACCATCTAGTAGTGAATCCTGCAACACGCCCCTCACAAAGTAAAGTTATGAAATCTCATCCCTATTGCTATAGTAACGTCACGCCTCCGCGCTGACCCACTTTGAGACAAAGGAAGTGTTCCCGAGCTCCAAGCATGCAGGAGGCTGTGGATGGTCCCAGTCTGTGCTCTGAGGGAATGGCAGAGGGAGCTGCTGGCTTCTCCCTCCCGCTCCTCTTTGCCCCAGGACCCTCACGCAAGAGGAGCTGCTTTGTTTAAGGCACTGAGCAAATCCGCTGCCAAAGAGCATCTCTATCCTGCATCCCAAATGCAGGGAGGGCCCTGCCTAGCATCATCTGGACATGTCTGGCTTCATTTGGACATTTAAGCAGTGAGAACATCTGTCCTGGAGCAAAGCAACATCCTTGCACAGCAGCAGAGACCTGGTGGTGCAGCAGTGACAGCCCTCATCATTTGGGGCATGCTGTAACTACTCTGCCACAAACATCAAGGGCAAGGAGATACAGAATCATAGAATCACAGAATATCCTGAGTGAGAAGGTACCCACAAGGACCATCAAGTCCAACTCCTGGCCCTGCACAGGACACCCCAAATTTCCTGCCATGTGCCTCAGAGCATTGTCCAAACCCTCCTGGAGCTCTGGCAGCCTTGGGGCCGTGCCCACTGCCCTGGGGAGCCTGGTCAGTGCCCAACCACCCTCTGGGGGAAGAACCTTTTCCTGAGATCCAACCAAACCCTCCCCTGACACAGCTCCACCTGTTCCTTCGAGTCCTGTCGCTGGTCACAGAGAGCAGAGATCGGTGCTGCCCCTCCACTGCCCCTCGTGAGGAAGCTGCAGACCCTGATGAGGTCTGACCTCAGTCTCCCCTTCTCCAGGCTGGACCTCCTCCTCCCCGTTGTGGTCCTTGGTGCCCCCAGTCTGGGGACTGCTGCTTGCTCTGGCAGCACAGTGAGGCAGGAAGACTCATATGGGGCTTGGGCAGGGTGGTAGCACAGGAGGCCAAGCAGAGTCTCTGTCTTCCTCTCTGTCACAATTTTTCAGTTCAAAAGTGGACTCCCTGGGAGTCATAGCATAGGCAAGGTAAGGGCTTTGCTCCACAGAGGTCTTTGCAAACATTTCCCCACCCCCTCCAGGCACCTTGAACAGCCCTGACCAGAATAGGTCAGGTTTGGTCCAGAATGTTCTCATTAGCTGCTTTTCCACATGAGCAGGACATGACCACCCTTGTGGTCTCCAGCATGTGCCCCAAGTGCAGGTGGGTTTCAAAGACAAAGACACGTTTGCTGCCCTGGTCCTTCCATTCCAACCACCTCATCAGCTCTCCTGCTCTCTTACAGAAAAATCCCTTTATTATCTGTCTCATTTATCTCATCTGACCTACTTAATGCTTTGCATTTCTTGCTTCAGAGCAGATCCCATGTCATGGAGAACTTTGAGAAACTTCTATTTAGGGACAGACAAATAGGTTGTGAAGTTTCTGGGGTTTTGCTCCCTTAAGAGTTGATTATATTACCAATGACATTGGCATGGAAATAAGTTCTCTGTGTCTCACAGGAGTTCATCTGCTCCTCCAGCTTAGCCAACACCTGAAGTTAAAAATCTCTGTCATATTACAACCTTTGACTTTCACAGCATTGGGCTGTGCTGATACCAAAAAAAAAAAAAGCATTTAGAGCATTTAAGGAAGATAAATTATTCCTCATCTGTTTTGGGATGGCACCAGTCAGATCCCATCCCTCCTTATCGCCCCAGCGTGCACCAGCAGGCAGTCCCAGCAGAGATGTCCCTTGGCCTGAAGAACAAGCAGGAGACCACAGGTATGGGTGGCAATAGGGCAATATTCAGCGACTGTGAGACCTCAGGACCTGTGAGCAGATCCCACATTCTAAAGGCACAAGCCATTTATTCAGATGTGAGATGAAATGTGAGGAGATCCTTCCCCTGGGACACAGCAGTGCTGAGGGATCAGCGCCACACACTCCGTCGAGCTCACACACCAACGCAGCCAACTCTGGGGTTTGGTCCATCTGGTGAGAGCTGCCTGGCAAGGGGTTGAGGATGGGCTGGGTGAGCCCCTGGGACACCCGCAGGCAAGGGGCAGACTAGTCCTCTAAAGTGATTCCCCATCTCCCAAGGAGGGATGCCTCACAGGTGAGACGTGTGGCTACTGTCTCCCCTCCATTGCTGTGCAGAGAGTGCCTGGTTCTGGTGATACTGTCACAGTGGGAACATCCATGTGACATTAACTCCTCCTCAGGAGCCTCTGACTTCATCCTAGGATGGGCAGTGCTGCTGCTCAGCCCTGGCATCCTCTACCCCAGGACAGAGCTCCCCAGGCAGCAGTGGAAAACATCCCGGGGAGCAGCAAGCGGCAGGGGGAGGCTGGAGGAAGGTCTGTTGTGTAATGAATTGTTCTAAGCAGAAGCTGACTATTTTTATCCCCCGCGATTAGATTCTGAACTCTGAATCATCATTAATGCAGGGCTCTGGCAGCCGGCGGCCCCCCTCGCCGAACGCCACATCAAGTGTTCCTGCTAATTCAGGGAACGTTTGACTCTGTGCGTGTGGGCAGACCCACGTCACCTACACCACAGTACACAATCTTTTAAGCTTCTTGCAGCAGGGTGAGGGAAGCATTTTTCTTCTGCAGGTTGTGAATCCTCTATTCCTTCTCCAGCCGGTTGTTAGCATGCTGCTGGTTTCTATATATAAAAGCCACCTCTGTGTTTGCAGCCAGCTTGGATGGCTGGGCCAGGGTTTACGTGGGAGAGCGCAGTATGTGGAGCCCTGGAAAATCTGATTGGCAGAGGGGAGGACTAGATGACTCCAAAGGGTGCCTGCAGCCCCATCAGTCAGGGGTGTCTTCTGAAGGATGTGTGCCCTGAGCAGTCCCATTTTACACACTGCTGCTTCTCCTGATGCTTCTGCCCGTTTCTCTTGAGCAGCACCCAAATGGCTCCTGCTCCTTCGTGGCCAGTCCTGCCTCAGGAGTACATAGAATCAGAGAACCACAGAATTATCAAAGAGTTTGGGTTGGAAGGGACCTTAGAAACCATCTCGTTCCAGCCCCCTGCCATGGGCAGGGACATATTCCGCTAAACCAGGTTGCTCTAAGTCCCATCCAACCTGGCCTTGGACACTTCCAGGGATGGGGCAGCCACAGCTTCCCTGTGCCAGGGCCTCACCACCCTCACATTGTGATATTTCTTCCCAGTATCCCATCTCACCCTGCCCTCTGACAGTGGGAAGCCATTCCCCCTTGCCCTGTCACTCCAGGCCCTTGTCCATCCAACTCTCTTGGAGCCCCTTTAGGCCCGGGAAGGAGCCTTCCTTTCCCCAGGTGAACACCCCCAGCTCTCCCAGCCTGGCTCCAGAGCAGAGGCGCTCCAGCCCTCGGAGCATCTCCATGGCCTCCTCTGGACTTGCTCCAACAGTTCCATGTCCTTCTGATGCTGGGGACCCCAGGGCTGGAGGCAGCCCTGCAGGTGGGGTCTCACCTGAGTGGGGCAGAGGGGCAGAAACCCCCCTCACCTACTGCCCACGCCGTGGGATGAGCCCAGGATACAGCTGACTTTCACCAATCTCTCCCCTGTCCTGTTCTTACATGTCTTGTCACACACACCCTGTTCACACATGTCCGTCCCCAACGAGCCCTGTCCAGGTGAACCCTGCTTTGGCTGTGAGCTCAAGAAATGCTCCCCACCCACACAGGGGGTTATATCAATGCCTGCCAAGGAGCCTAAGGACAGAGTGTCTGACTTCTGCTGGCACCATCTGGACCCAGGTCTCACTGTGTCTGGTGCCAGGTGTTGTGTACAGGTGCAGTGATTTTGTGATGCATTATGTCCTTTACATGAGATGTGGCAGCTGGGGATGAGAGAGCCCAGCTCTACCAAGGGGTAGTAGATCTCTCCTTCCATTTAGCATGGATGCAGTATGTGGGCAGTGGCTTTGGCATTTCCACAGGGAATAAACTTAGAAGCTGTTGGAAAGCTCTGCTGATGGGAATAGCAGATCTATGGCAGAGCTGTGAGGGGGAGGCAGAGAGAAGAAGAAAGAAAGGGAAGGGGAGATGATGCTTTTTGCTGTGGTTTTGGGGAGGAAGAATCAGAGTCACAGACTGGTTTGGATTGGAAGAGACCTTAAAGCTCATCCAGTTCACAGGGCAGCCACAGCTTCTTTGGGCTACCTGTACCAGGGCCTCAGCACCACTTAAAGAGCTCTTCGAGTGCCCATTTCTGTGTCAAGGCATTGCTCAGCTGCAGCAGTGATGGTTGTGTCAGCAGAGGAGGGCAGCCAGGGAGAGGACAAGGAGTCCTTGTGCGGAAGATGTGTGCCAGGGGCAGGGGAGAAGGGAGGGAGGGCAGCAGCACTGAGCCATCCCCCACAGCTGCCTGTGGAGGGTGAGATTAGCCACCAGCCCAGTGTTTGCAGCTCCCTGGTTCTACAGAAGCATAAGCTCCCATGCTCAGGGTGCACCCCGCGCTCAGCCTGCACCCCCAACACTCTACACACAAGGAGCAGAAATACAGAACATGGGGTGCTTTGGGAGCTCCCTGTGATCTGCCAGGCTTGCTGAGAGGGAGCCACCTTGCCTGGTGACCTGCAGCACCCCCAGGACCCCTCTGCCACACATCAGGCTGGCAAACACCAGCCAACTGCAAAGTGAGAACCTGGAAACAGATAGAAGTAGAGAGCAGTGAGGTGTGGTGAGGCTGGCAAGGTGAGGGGCTGTATGTCCTTGCTGAAAGGGTCTGCCCTGTCCTCTGCCCTGTCTTCTCCATGCCCTCAGGATAAGATGGTTTAAGGTGGGTTTGCGGAATTTAAGACAATAGAAAAAGGGCAGCATCTCCTAAAACCCACATCCGCCACAAAAGTTCAAAGGGAGGGGGCAAAACGGACAGTGACATTGGTTTGCCCAAGTCCCTTGTCATGCAGAGCCCCAGCACGGAAGCTGATCACAGCTGCTGGTGGGGGATCCATGCCTGGAAGTGTTCAAGTCCAGGTTGGACAGGGCTTGGAGCAACCTGGTCTAGAGGAAGGTGTCCCTGCCCATGGCAGGGATTTGGAAGGAGATGAGTGATAAGGTCCCTTCCAATCCAAACCATTGCATGATTCTCTGATGTAATTCCATCCCCTGCCCAGTGTCTGGAGCTGCTGGAGTTGAATTGGGTGCAGCCCATCCAAGCCTGCAGGCAGCTCCCATGCTGCTGCTGTGAACCATGCCCAAGAGGAGGCTGCCTCCAGCTGAGGTTTGGGACACACAAAAGTGACATAAATCAGGTCAGGTCAGTTTACCTGCTTCACCTCAGAGACCTCTGAGCATCAGCAAAGTCACTGGGAAGAGGAAGGTCAGCCCTGAGAAAATAGGCTGAGGGGAAGGGAAGTAATGGGGCAAGACCAGCCCCTTCCCATGGGCTCAGGGGTCCTGTCCTCACCCTGGCAGCCCCTGCTGCAACCATCTGCTACTCAGGTCTTGTCTTGTGATGACCCTGAGTGTCCCCTCTGTGGTGGGGGACAGGCCACCCCCCTGCTGTGGTGCCTGGCTCAGGGCAGGAAGACACACTGGGGGACTGGGCAGCTGCCCTGGGAGGCAGCCCTTGCCCAGTCTGTGAGCTGAAGGATCATGGATTTGGGAGATTTAGTTTCAAGCTTTTTCATCTGTTCAAATTAAAAAGATGGCAGGGAAGAAGCTAATTGGACTTTTCCCTTCTGTGACCCCACGTCTCAAGAAAGTGCTATGGATTGCAGAGAGTAACTGAAATGTAAGAAAACAGTTTAATCCATCTTAAAGGGAGATCAGCTGACAGAGGAGGCAGCAAACACAGCATGGTGGGCACCAGGAGCTGGGGGGGGGCGGGGGGCGCAGCCCTGCCCCCAACACATGCCCAGCAGCAGACGCATCCCTGGCCAGCAAGGAAAGGGATCCCAGAGCTGGAAGGACAGGCAGGAGGATCAGGACCTGTGACAGCCCAGCAGGAGTCCACAGGAGGAGAAAGAAGCAATGAACTCCCTGCCATATAGAAGCGAGTGTCCACCCTTGGCAAGGGCTCACCAGTCTGGGAGAGAGGGAGCTCCCTGCCCTCCCCTGCTCCCACATTCCCATCCTTTCTGCTCCTGCCCCTCCAGAAGCTTCTCTTTCCCTCCTTTCCCACTCATCCCCAGCCCCTCAGTTTTTCCTCCCTGTGCCTCTGCCTCTCGAAGACCTGAAGGCAGCCCAGCCCCTGGCACCACTCCTCCTCCCCTGCACGTCAGGCCTTCATTGCATGGCACAGATTTACATTTCTTTAATTTTGCTATTTCCTCCCACTATCCCAGGTTGCTCTAAGCCCTCTCCAATCTGGCCCTGAACACTTCCAGGGATGGGGCAGCCACAGTTTCTCTGGGCAACCTGTGCCAGGGCTTCACTACCCTCACAGGGAAGAATTTCTTCCTAATATCTAATCTAAAGCTCTGTTCTTTTAGTTTAAAACTGTTCCCCCTATCTAGCTGTATTAAAAGTCACTCTTCCTCTCAAACTAAACCAAAAAGGAAATAAGAAACTAAGCTAAAAGGAAATAAGAGTTCATTTATTCAAGTTCCAATAAGAGTTCATCACCTATTCAAGTAGGTTTTAAGTATGGAAAATCAACTCACTGATTGACAACTCAATTCACATAAATGTTTATTGATTCTTTTTAAGCAGCCCCAAAAGGTTTGTCATTTTTTCCTGTATAACCCAGTGCAGATGAGGATCCCTCTGAGCCAAGCAGGATGGGGTAAGACCACTGGGGAGACCTTCAGTGAGGATGTCCCCTGACTCCCTTCCTTCTGTCCAGCTGCCCCTCTGCCACCCTGCAGGGATCCTGTACCTGCCAAATGGGCCAAAGGTGGCCAACCCCAGCCCCTTGCTGTGGCAGAGGGGACAGTATCAGGGACGATGGGCAGGCTTGGAGGGTGACACAGCTCCTCAGGAGTCATGCAGCACGGCAGGAATCATCATCTGAACAGCAAACAGCTTCTCAGGTCAGGCGCTGAGTCCTCAGAAACCTCTGCTCTCGCAGAGCTACTGACACACTGTGCTCCGGGGTAAAACATGCCACAAGCCTGGCAGTGGCTGAGAGGAGGCATTTGCCATCACCTCGTATTAGCGCAGCTGCATGAGCAGAGGCTGCCAGACCCGAGATCCCGGCACCACAGAAACACTGGGCAGAGGATGAGGTGGTCGGCTCTAGGCTGCCTGGGCTCAGGGCGGACCGGTGCAGTGTCTGACAGCAGGTTTTTCCCCAGTCCCTTGAGCAAATGGGACAGAGCAGGGATCTGCTGGCAGTGCCCTGCCAGCTTTTGTCACACTGCTGGGGAGGGGACTCTATCTCTGCAGTTGCAGTGCCTGTGTGCCTCAGTGCTCAGTCACAGGCTGCTTAACAGCGCTGCTGGTGTTCTGATGCTGCACATGGTTATTTAACAAAGAGAGTGAATCCTGCCCCTCCTCCTCTGCTGTGCCCTGTTCTCCTCAGTGCCTGGTTTCATGCCCCTTCTCCTCCCCTCCTGCCGTGTCAGCTCTCTCCTATCCTGCTTCTCTCCTTTGTTCTATAACCTTGGTGGCATTTGCTTTCAGAGCTGGGACAGCCCCCATGGGGATGCCCCCTGGGCTGCCAGAGGGATTCCCATCTGGTTCTCAGCATCTGTCCTCTTCCTCCAGGTACAGGAAAGTCTGCGGGGCAGCGGGGCCAGTGCTCCTGCGAGGAGTCTGCTACACCGTCCCTGAGTGATGGTCTGGGAAGCACTGGGACCATGAAGGGCTTAGGAGATAACAGAAGCCGCCACCTCTCTGATAACCTGGACTCCCCTCAAGACTCTCTTTATGCCCCCCAGGACAGGAACCCTTATCTCCTCAGCCCCACTGACTCCTTCACCATGGATCCCCGATTCCCAGCCCAGAACACGCTCCATGGTGACTGTCTCCTTCCACTCAACAACCAGATCTCCAACAGCAGCACTTTCCCCCGCATTCATTACAACTCCCACTTCGAGGTCCCGGACGACAACCCTTTTCCGAGCCATGCTCAAGCCACAAAGATCAACCGCCTGCCTGCAAACCTCCTTGATCAGTTTGAGAAGCAGCTGCCCATCCACAGGGATGGCTTCAGCACCCTCCAGTTCCAGCGGAGTGACACGAAGCACCGGAGCGAGAGCCCTGGGCGCATCCGGCACCTTGTCCACTCTGTGCAGAAGCTCTTTGCCAAGTCCCAGTCTCTGGAGGGCCCCACCAAGGGCAACGTGAATGGGAAGAAGGGGGCAGATGACACCAAGCAAAACCGGAGGAGCAAGAGCAAGGACCGAGCGAAAACCTCTGAGCCCAAGCGCAGGACCAGGTCCAACATCTCCGGCTGGTGGAGCTCAGATGACAACTTGGACAGCGATACCTGCAGCTACCGCAACCCCATGGGGCTCATGACACTGGGCCGGCAGCCCGACCACAGCCAGCCAAAGTACTTCATGCACGCCTACAACACCATCAGCGAGCACATGCTGAAATCCTCCAAGAGCAATAACGACCTCAAAGTCACCCCTTGCACCAATATCCCCATCAACAACGACTCCAACTACATCAAGCGAGGCTCCTGGTCCACGCTGACGCTCAGCCATGCCCGGGAGGTGTGCCAGAAGGCCTCCGCCACCATTGACAAAGCCTTGCTCAAATCCAAGTCCTGCCACCAGGACTTGGCCTACCACTACCTGCAGGTGGGTGCCGGGGTAGGGCATGGCATGGTCCATGCAGGGAGAGCACAGGAGTTCAGGGGACATCCTCTCGCTGGGCACCCTCTTGCCCATGTGACCTTATCAAACATCTCCAGACGGTTCAGCTGCCACCTAAGGTCACACTGCCAGGAGAGGCCCGGGAGGGGCCCCAGGAATAGACCCCCACTCCTCCTGCGGGGACACTGGTGCACGTGGGGTCCATCTCCCACAGCTGCATCATTGTCCCAGCACCCCCCCCCGTCCCTGTGCTGTCCCATGGCAGCGAGGGGAGGAGGGCATGTGCCATGCCACACCCTCTGCTGCGATCCCCATTTGCTGCAGGCCCCACACATGCCCCCACTGCCTGCCCAGACCCTGAAGATGCTGAGGGGAACACTCTTGGGCAGGTGGGTATGTAGCTGCCCACATGTGGTTGTTCCCAGTGGGTGCCCGTGCAGCTGGACATGCTGAGCGGCCGTGTCTCACACCTCACTTGGACACAGCTCCCCAAGCTCCAGCCCCACTCCCATGGAGACTCCTGCTCCACCACCCCACAGGCTGAAGATCCCCAGCAATAACTAACACTTACCCCTTATATCCACGCATCACAAGGACGTGCCGGCGTGCCCAGTAAGCCCCACTCTGCCCAGCTTCCCCGGAGTGCTGGTAGGACCGACCGCTGCCTCACTCGCCCACGCGGAGCAGGGCTGGGGGCAGGGGGGCAATGCCAGCCCCCAGCTTGCATGGCCGTGGCCTGCATGGCTAATGCTGGTTTGAAACCCCATCACCAACAGCTCCAGGTCACTGTGGCAGATTCCAAAAGCGGTGCTTGAACGACATGAACCTGGTTGTGCCCTAGAGAGAGGAATGAAGACAAATAAGCCAGACCTGGATGGGGGGAGGAGGGGACCAGTCTGTGTATGTAAATCTCCAGCATCCCTTTAATGAAGAGGTGCCATGGGCTCCCCTGGTTATGTCCAGCAAGCTTACAAGCTTTAAAGACCAGTGAGTTATTGAAGCACACTCTGTTTCCAATACTGTTCTGGCCACGGCTGCAAATCAAACTTCCAAGGGACTGAACTTATCAGGAGCATCATCAGGAAAAATGGTCTTGGCCTGGTTTCTTTTTCTTTGCCCCCTCTTTCCAGTTAAGTGTTTGAGGTCAAAGAGCTGCAGCCATACTCTCTACGGACCCTGTTCCCCTCGGCCTGCAGCGCAGAGCCCATCAGGCAGCTCCGACAGCCCCTTGCCTCTCGGAGTCTGGCCCCAGCTGGGGATGTGAGGCTGCCCTGGCCATCCTTCCCCCCCATATAATGAGCCTCCGTTTCTCGACAGCCTGACGCAGGGCTGTGGGCACAGCTGGGTGGCACGAGCCCGGCCAGCAGCTGGGCAGCCCCACCACTCAGCTGGGAGGACACGGGTGCCCCGCTGCAGCCGAGCGAGCCCCCACAGAAGTGGGACCAGCCCCTCAGCCCCGGGCCGACCGACGCAGGCAGCACCCAGGTAGGGATCTTGTATTGAGGGGAAGCTTTTGCCCAGCTCCCTCCCACCCTGACCCTGACCCTCCTGGGACCATCAGACAGGGGCAGTAGCCTGTGCCACTGGACTTGGAGTGGGTAGGGAGCAGCCAACAGCCCTGGCTGCCATGGCTGTAGGGGCACTGGGGGACACCAGGGTGCAACCAACATCCCGAGTGCCTGGGGCAGCCACTGCGGCCAACAGCGTCTCACTAGAGCAAAGCCAAGACTCCTGGCACCCAGAAAACACGATGTTCGGTGCCCCCGCAAGCTGACAGGTCACAGGTGCTCAGGCTGGTCTTGTACCCGTGTGAGCCACAGAGATCAGGGCACAGGGCTCAGGAACCTCATGGTAGCATGGGGTGATTGTATCCAGACCTCTCCTCAGCACGGGAAAGGGGCTACACTGGTAATGGAGAAGTCATGTCTGCAGCTGGTGTGTGGGAAACATCCTTTTGCAAGGCCATGCTCCACCTGGGGACAGGACAAGCCCACTCCCTGGATGTGCCACAGGGAGGAACCACAGGGATTTGCCTGCCCAGTGCCTGGGGAGCACAGGGGCCCTGCCCTGTTGTGGATGGGGCTGCTGCCAGGCAGAAATGCCTGGTGAGTCCCAGAGGTAAAGGGACATGAGGGAGGGCAGGAGGAGTGGGATGAGGACAAACAGGACACCCCAGCCTCCAGGTTGGGCAAGCCCCTCAGCCTATTCACCTCTCCTACCCCATTTGCAGACTCTGGGTAGTCTTGGGCTTCACTGGGGACTACTGGGGGGTTCATGTGATGTTTCCAGGCCCATCCCCATACCCAGACATGAGAGATGGTAATCATCCAGCTCGAGGTCCAGCCCTGTCCCATCGTCATCAGGGGTTTCTTGGGATCAGTCCCGCAGGTGACACAGCTCTATCCTTAGAGCAGAGTCCCCAAGGAGGGAGACTGTGTTCTCCATGCCCTATTCCCCCATCTCCATGGGCCCCACAGGAAAGAGGCTGAGGGGTCAGGATCCCTATGGCTAGGAAGCTCCTTGGAATGGGAGATGACCCAGGCAGGGGTGAGCAGAAGCTGTGGATCCCAGGATCATACCAAAGGGACAGGCCGTGTGAGGGCTCCCAGGGGACAGTCACCATTAACCTCATGCATCATCCAGATTAGTTTACAGTCACACCACACCAGAACTTCCTTAGGCCCCAGGACCCCCAAAAATAGTTCATAATCCAGACTGGGTGGCCTGTTCAGTGTCAGCCACTCAGTGGATGCTCGCAGCCTCATGCCAGCCCCACCTAGCTGCCATGGAGCAGGAATCCAGCCCAGGTCCTTCCTAGAGGGTGCCCTGCCAGAAGGACAGCCGAGGCCCAAGGGCTCTGGTTTGCTTTCTCAAGGATGTGGCTGAGCCCACGGCTGACCCCGAGGGAGGCGGCCCTGGAGGGAGCAGCAGTGTGCCCACCTCAGTGCAACCTGTGCATGGCCCGTGCGTCCCTGCCTGCTGTGTCCAGCCCTCAAGCTTGGCAGAGCGCTCCTGGGTGGTGCATGTCCATGTGTGGCGGGGCTGAGCTGCATGTCAGAGCTGGCACATGTGTGAATGGAAACGCTGTTTGCTCTGCAAGTTTCTTCCTCCAGAAACTGTGGGAGCGGTGCAGCTTCTGCACCCCTGTCCAGAGCCCAGGAGTGGAGCCTTCCCCTTCCCTCCACTCCCCTCTCTTTCGGGGGATGCCCATGTGACCCCTTCCCTTTTCCCTCCATGCTCTGCTCATGGCAGGAGAGCAGCAGAGCCAGACAGTGCTGCTGGTTTGTGACATTCAGCATTGTGGCAGCAGTGAACCCCAGTTCCAGGGATGGACACATGCCTGAATCCCACATGCACCGCATGGCACCACATAGACCTCGACTGGGCAGAAAGATCCACATCCTGCAGCCTGGAAGACCACCTCTGCTGCCTGCTCTTTACCTCCATGCAGCCTCAGGGCAGGTGTATCCCCAAGCCTCCACAAGTGCTCTTGACAAGTGCTCTTATATCCACGCCCTCCACACCAGCCAGAACACCATGGGCAAAACCAAACCCACACCTGGGAGAGCAGCAAGAAGGGCAGCAGAGTCCTACTGCCAGTGAGGAGCCTCCAGAGCTGCTCTGGGCCAGGCCTGGGTGCCTTCAGGTCCACTTGGTCCTGTCTGTGACACATGAGCTGTGCTCAGAGCCTGGAGTCTCACCTGCCAGGAATGCCGCTGCCATCAAGGGGCCTCACTGACCACTGTCAAGGTCTGTCCTTGACCACAGGAGCTGCTTTGGGCTCATCACCCCCATCGCAGAGCTTCAGACTGTGGGACAGGCTCCTCACATCCTCAGGGGCCTGACAGTGCAGAGAAGCACCCCAAAAGACCCTGAAGAGCACCTCAAGTACCTATACTGCTTTTGGAGGTCCCCAAGGGCACCTGCTTGTCTTTTCAGGTGTGACACTTATGAAACATTTGTCCAGCACTCTGTCCCTCAGGAGCAAGAGCTCCCCCTGGACTCTGTATGCAGGCAGAGGTGGGACACAATCCAGACTGGGGTAGTGGCTTCAGAGGGTGTCCTGCCAAGCATCTTCCTTCCCTTTGACTGCTGAACTGGAATGTGGAGCCCCCTGACAGCTGTGTCTTGCTGTCTTGCCAAAGTGAAAAACGACGGAGAGGCAGGGAAAGGAGAAATAGGCAGCTTGGTGAGGACCAGCGGGCTGTCACGATGCCGCGGGGAGGCTGTCCCTAGGACAGGGACAGGGTCTGTACAGGGCAGGCAGTGCTGGGGGCTGCCTGGCTCACAGGCTGCACCAGCAGAGACACATTGAAACTCTTTTGTGCAGCTTTGCAGAGAGAGCCAACAGGACCAGAGGCCAGGAGGCAAATGCACCAGCCATGGCGGAACTGAGCAGCCCCTGGCCCTGCCCTTGAGCAGCGGCAGTGGAGCAGCCACAGTAGCCTGAGCTCTTAACATCCCCACTGTCCTAGGCTGAGCCCAGCTCCCCTCACTGCCCCACACCATCCAGCATTTGCCCCTGCACGACCGTGCAGTCCCTGCTCTGCTGAGCAGCCCAGCTGCTGGCACACTCTGCCTCCTCCGCCAGGCCTGTCCTGTTCCCAGGCCCGCCTGCCCACACCCCAGCCTCGTGCTAGTCTGAGACCCCCGCAGGCAGGAGCTGCAGCTCACCCCGAGGAAAAGGCAAACAGAAAAATGCAGTCTCCAGTCAGACCTGACAGCAAGGTGATGGGTATAAAAGTGCTTTCTCAGGGCCCTTGTCTCCTTTAGGAACAGAGCCAGACATCCCAGTAACCTGTTGGGATCCCTCTCATGGCAGGACTTAGCTGGAGCCAGTGCAGTCCCTCCTGGCCGGCCTCAAGGCCACCAGTATGGACAGAGGCTGGGGCAGAGGCAGGGCTCACACTCAGCAGGGAAAGGGCTCTGGGCTCTTACATTTGTAGGAACCTGATGGAAACACCTGCAGCCCCTGAGCTGGACACTCATGCAAGCAGCCAGCCTGGGAGCTACGGCCAAGCACAAAGATTGCAGGAGGTAGGGTGGAAAGAGATGGGAAAACCCTCACCAGCAGCAAGTGGGGCCAGGGAGGCCTGGCCGGGTGTGGGTCTCATGTGGAAGACTCACTCTTCATTAGTCCCCACCTGGATCTCACACACCGGCATCAGCCCTGACTGTGTTCCATGCCCCCCAATAATCCCAGTGCTGCGTCATGGGCACACTCCTGGCAGGAGCCCCATCACCCACAGGCTGTTTGGGTTTTGTTCCACACCTTGCCTTCTCCTGGACACACAGAGGAGGCAGCGGGATGGCAGGACATGGGCTGAGGCCCTGCTTCTTCGGGCACAAGAGAGCCCTTGGTGTGAGCTGAGCTGTTGTGTGTGGATTGAGCCTGGAAACAGCCCAGGTGCTCTCAGGACCACGAGCAGCCACTACCTGAGGATCTAAACCTCACCTGAAGATGCTGCACCCCAACAGCATCAGACAGACCCTCAGACTGGCTCTGGCTCCCACAGAACATACCTGCTGTGAACAGGGGTGGGAAAAGGCACCACGCAGCATTTAACAGCTCTGGCTCATCACAGCTGCAGCACAACTCTGCATCCCCAGAGCACTGTATGAACACCGACTGCTTAATCCCATGGCTCCCTGGGGATCTGGGCAGATCCAGCAGCTCCATCCAGCACAGCCAATGTGGATGTTCCTCAGCAGCATGAGGTGTGCTCAGCACAAGACCCATTGCTGCTGCCCATGGCACCCACCCACCTGCTGCTCCCTGGGGCAGACTCCCTGGGATCAGCATGGCATGGACATTGCTGCATCTTCACATCTGTCCTTGCTTCTCCCTGGCCACATCTCTCAAGGGCAGGACAAAGGCCAGCTGCAATCTGAGCAAGCCACAAAGCCAAGGCTTGCTCCTGGCAACTCGAGCTTCCGCGTCTTTCTCCTTACCTGTCCCACACCATGTGTGGCTCTTGTCCTGGTCCGTTCTGGGCACCTTGGCTCTGTCTCCAGTCCCCCACACAAACCCTTCGCAGGATAGGCAGATGGGGTGTTGGCTACTGTGGTTGTTCAGTGCTTCAAGCCTCCAGTGGGACCATCAGCTCACCCATCTCTAGTGAGGGATCAAGCGACCGTGTCTGCCTTGAATTCATTGTGCAGTTGCCATCTTAGTAGAGTTAGAAGTGATTCTCTTGCCAAAGGTGCTGCTCATCTTTGTGCAGAGAGGCCAGCACAAGGTCTGTGTGCCTGAGCTGCTCCAGAGGGACTTGTGAGAGCCTGACTTGGCTTCAGAAATTAATTTCAGCCACTCAGAGTCACATTCAACTCAGAAATCTAAAAGGGTGTTAGAACCCGTCTGGGCTCTGACTCACAAGCCCTGCTCTACAACAGCACTGTTATGTTCAGTGACATGGTCTGTGTGATGAACACCCATGTCTGCTCCTGTCCCAATGCCCCACACAGGCCTGGTGAGACTCCCTCCTCCCTCCCCCTTACATCTGGCACTGTGCAGCTTGTATTGGCTGTGTGAGCATGTCTGGGGTGGAGGTGGTCTGCTGCAGCAGGGGGAATGGCTGTGATGTGCTGAAACAGAAGCCACCAAACCCAGGGCTGCCTGGCATGAAGTGGTAAGGGAGGATTGTAAAGGAGTTATGTTGCCCATTCCCACTGCACTCCAGTGGAAAGTCCAGCAATCCCCCCAAGTCCCCATGATCCCATTGGTCCCAGAGGTGCCATCCCTCACATCTGCTTATGCTCTCCTTCCTCTTGTAGGTGCCTCAGGGGGAGTGGAACAACACGCTGTCCAGGGACAAGGACAGCGAGATCCCGTGCCGGCGCATGCGGAGCGGGAGTTACATCAAAGCCATGGGGGATGATGATAGTGAAGACTCAGAAAACAGCCCCAAACCATCCCCAAAAACTGCAGCTCGGAGGCAGAGTTACCTCAAGGCCACCCAACAGTCCCTGAGTGAGCAGAGCACCACACAAAGGTAACGCTGGAGCTCCTCCAGGAGCTCTGCATGGGTTCCCAGGGCCACCCCTGGAGCAGGCCTCGGGGTCTGGCCAGCAGCAGCACCCCACAGAGGCTCCAAGTGGGGATCAGAGCCCAGCAGGGCTCCTGCACCCCAGCTCAGGCAGGGGCAGAGACATGAAGAGAAAAGTGGGACAGGAGGAGATGTGGCAGAGGAATGGAGAGAGCTCCCCATCCTGATGACTCCAGATAGCCCTGGCATTAGGAGCTGCTCCAGGTCCCTGTCTGCTCAGTGATGGGGAGAGCACTCTTCTGATTGGAGCTGTGGGGATTTCCTCTCCAAGCACCTTCTCCTCTGGGGGAGTACAGAGATCCCAACCTCATGATGCCACTTGGACATGGAAGCTGCTGACCCAGCATGGCTCAGGACACTTGGCACACAGCCCGAGGCCCGCTGGGACTGTGACAGTGGCTTTACTCCACAGGTGTCCCAAGGACCCTGTGACCAGCCAGAAAGTTGGCACACTGGGCTGGGTGATATCCTGAGGCCAGGAGAGAAGAGCTGAGAGGTTAGGCACCAGGTGCTGAGGGAGGAAGACCCACAGTGGTTTGAGCCAGCCACACAGGAGAGCCAGGGGAACACGGCACAAGTTTTGCTGGGCCAGAAGGGGCTGCAGGACGGGAGGTGTGTGGCCCATGACCAGTGGTGATGCTGTGCTGTGTCCTCACCAGCTGCTCCACTTCCCAGGACAAGGCACCTGGAGACTGTCAGTGTTTCGGATGCTGCAGCTTTGGAGGGTGTGAGGGGTACGGAGGGGCAAGAGGAAGCAGGAACCATCGCAGATGAACTCCTGAGGCTCAGCAGGCAGAGGGAAGCTGGGTGCAGGCAGTGTGGGGAACCCTCATGGAGGCTTCAGATTGAGATCAGATGTTGCTTTCTTCTGAGAGACGGTGACAAAATCAACTGTGGGGAGCCCTAGAAATGCCTGCTGTAGATCCATCCCTATTCCCAGCCTTCACGTCAGCCTCAGAGGAGCAGAGAGGGGTCATGGGGTCTCTGGTGCAAAATACCTACGTAGAGAGGCTGGGGTTCCTCATTGCCCATCCCGACCATGTCCATCGGGATCTGAGCTGCCTTGAGCGCTGGGCTCAGCTGGAGCACGGGACAGTGCTGGGAAAGGTCTGGGGAGCGCGGGGGGTCGGGGCCGCAGGGATGCGGCTGTGGGAAGCGGGGGGCCCCAGGGGGCTCCGGTCAGGGTTCTTCCCGGCTGGAGCTCTGCCGGAGGCAGGACCCTGAGGGGCGAAGGGGGCTCTGCAGCGGGGCCCTGCCCGGGACGGAGCCAGAGCTGGAGCCGGAGCTGGGGCCGGGGCTGGAGCCGGGGCTGGAGCGGAGCGCGGCCGCCACCTGGTGACCGGCCCTCGCCGCCCGTCGGGGAGCCCCGGGCTCCACCAGCCGGGGAACGCCGGCACGTGGCTGGGACGGGGGGGGGGCACAGAGACAGCCAGAGCCAGGGCAAGGCACAGAGCAAGGAGCTACGATCCGTCCCTCTGCGAGGGCCTCTGCCCCTCCAAGGCCTGTTGGCCGCTCTCTGTGACTCAGTTTCCCCGCGGGCAGGCTGCAAGGGCAGGGCAGGGTGAAGGGCAGTGGAGTAGCACAAGGAGGGGATGCTGCCCGCTCCAGGGCACCGCTGGCTTACGGTGTGAGCTCACAGACAACAGATTGTCAGCATGAGGGAAACCTGTCAGTCAGCGGAGAGCACAAGGCTTGGGGCTTCACATGGCCTTTGGGATGCTCAGTGGGCCCCAGGGACTGGGTGTCTCCTTCATCTTCCCTGGCAGAAGGGAGGGCTCACTCTCTCATCCCACCCCAGGATGGAGACTGTGCTGTGGGAGGCCCAGATGCTGCACAGGGCTCTGCCCTGCCCTCAGCTTCGCTGTCCCCCAGGCAAGTGACAGATAGACCCCTGCACCCACAGCTGTGACAGATGGGGGGGAAGAAGCACTACAGGGGGCCTCTGTCAGGACCAGAGGCCATTCCAGGAAATTCCAACAGGAAAATCCCCATAGATCTCCCGGGTTAGCATCGCTGACCATGTCCTACACCGTGTCCACCCAGTCAGTGACAAGGACCCTACACACAGGGTCTCGTGGTGGAAGAGATGAACAGGCGAGTCCATCCTTCCCACATCCCTCCTCTTCCTCCTGCATCCCTCCATATCCCTCTAGCCTCTGTGTGCCTGGATCTGAGCTGAGACCATAGCTGAAGTCTGCGTTGGGTCGTGCTCAGTGACATCCCTGTTCTCCTGCACAGAGGCTGCCAACAAGCCCCAGGACATGGGGACAGACTTTCTCCCAGAGTCTGCAGCAAAGGTGCTCTGGAAATACTGCCCCCCTGCTACTGCATCACTGTCATTCCAGGCTGGCTCCCCTTGGACTTCTTCCAGATAATTTTTTGGGTTCCTCTACACGAATTTTTATATATCTATATATCTATGTATCTATATAGATATATGTGTGTGTATATATATATATGTATGTATATATCTTGCAGAAGTTTCCAGTTGCGAAATCCACAAAACATCATTTAAAAGTCATTTCTCATCCCACCTCTCACTCCCTTCCCACCAGTCCAGGCAGTGCTGTGACTCTGGAGGCTGGCACAGATCCCATGTGCTCCTTGGAGTTCAGCTGGACTAACCTGGCATCCTGCAGTGCATTCCTGGGGTCAGTGGGACCCAAAATCTTGTCCCCTCTCCTTCTGCTGCACCCAACAACCTTTCAGCTGTATGCCAGGCTATTCCAGGGGCTGGCAAGGTGAGGAAGCGTTTCCTTCTACTCCAGGGACCAAGCAGTGGACATGGTACCCGGCATCGTCTCCGTGCTGCACAGTGCCTGTGCCTGACAGAGGGGCCATGGGCAGGGGTGATCTGGCCATGGGCAGGGGTGGTCTGGCTCTGCTCCAGCAGAGCCCCAGCACTGCCCCCACTGTGGGGTCACCCCTCACATCCTCCCTCTCTGCTGGCAGGAGCCTGGACCGCCTGGACTCTGTTGAGATCCTCCTACCTCCGAAGTTCCCAACCTGGGAGGAAGAATACAACCAGATCTCTGACAGCGTCAATGAGTCCAGCTGCATCAACCAGGTGAGGTGCTGAAGTGCTGACCGGCTCTGCCAGCACAGCCCGGCAAGAGAGGCCAGCTCAGGGCAGAGGGAACATCATCTTCTTCCCCCTTCAAAACAAGGCACTGGCTGCACTCCAGGAACTGCACAGGCTGTTCCCTGGCAGCTTTACCAAAGTGTCAAGGCCACCTACTTAATCATGATTCATATTAGACCTCCTCCCTCCAGCTTTGCCTCCTCTCATACTGCTGGTGCAGCCAAAGTTGTTCTGCCACAGGTATGGTAGCCCAGAGCAGTGCTCCACAGCACTGGATCAAGCTCAGGGCTGCTCCAGGTGCAGGGTTCCACCGTGTGACCCCCTAGAAGCCACCTGCAAGTCTGTCCAACCCTGATGCAAACCCCTCATGCCCAGTGGGTGGGTACAGAGCCTGGGCCAACCTCACCTGCTACTGTCCAGCCTGGGACACTGCAGCACTGGGTCACCAGGGACAGTGACCCTGCTCAGCTCAGGACCTCATCCCTCATACAGCAGACTGGACCCAGGAACAAGGTGCTTTTAATTCATGAGGCTGAACTCCTAGCTAGCTGGGGATGTCTCTCTTGGATATTCCTGGACCCCATGGGATTGGCAAAGCCGAGGATGCCTGTGAGGTGCCGGTAGTGGGTGGCAAACCCCTTGTCACAGGGTGGACTCATGCCCTGATCCCAGTGTCTGGAATGCAGTTGGTGCAAACTGGGTTTAACTCCCTACACAATGGTCTTGGGATTACTCTGGAGCTCTTCCTGGCTCAGGTGGCTCTAAGACAGCTGCCTCACAGGCCACGAGATAACTCATGCCAGGACAAGCCTTTGCAGAGGTCCCATGTGCTTTTCTCAGCCCTTTCAGTGTGCGGGTGAAGGTCCCAGGGCAGGAATGGCTCCACAGGCTTCACCCAGCGGGTCCGCTATCACCCTGGGCCTCTGTCATGCCCCATCTCTGTTCATGCTTGTCTGCTGGGAACACATGCCCACACGGGCCTGCCCTGCCTGTGTGCAGTGACCACAGGCGGCAGCACGAGGAGGGGTTGCAGCAGTGGGGTGGGCACCAGGGACCCAGGGATGAGGGGGGTTGAGCAGTGTATGTCCTGCCAGTGTTCCCCTCCAGCTGTGTGGGGCTCTGAGGCCTCCTCTGGCCCAGCCCAGCCCCTCTGGCCCCATGGCTGGTACCTCCTGCTGTCCCAGAGCAGCTGGAGCCCTTGGAGGAGAGCTTGGGAGGAGCACAGGGCATTGCTGGGCAAACCTGTTCCCTGTGGTCAGTCTCGTCCCTTGTGCAGCAGCAGCAATTGCTGCGTGTCTCAGTGCACAGAGGGCATCGGGACCATCGTGTCCTTGTCCTTTGCATGTCGGTCCATGCCTGAAGCCAGGTCTCTGCAGAAGACAATGGATCTATGCTCTATCCATTTCTAGAGCTTCTGTTCTGCAGTCGAGTAGTTGAGTGCTGCACCCCATGGAATCATCAGAAGGGTCTTGGAGCTGAATGGTCTGAGAAGCCCATGACACGGCAGGAGCTGCCCAGGCAGCCACCTCAGAGACAGACTGGTGGCACTGGGATGCTGGGGGCACGCCAACTGCCACAGCAACTGCTCAGATGTGGTGCTGCAGCCATCACATGCACTCTGCCACTGTCCTCCAAATCCCAGAGAGTTCAGCTCCAGCTGGTTGGGATTGAGAGACCTCCTATGAACTGCATGTCTGTTGATCCAGGATGGAGCTGGTTCAGCCACTAGTGTCAGTGCCAGAGGCAGTTCCACCCCTGCCCTCACCTTTGTGTGACCTCCAACACCTTTCTTGTGTGTCCAGCCAGACCCAAGTGTCCTCTCACACAGAAGTATCCCCTGCTATGACAGACAAGTCCCCTCTGCTTGGTTTTGTCCCCACTCGGCTCCACCTTGCAGACCTCTGGCAGTCAGGGATTCACCAGGTGTGCATGTCAGCATCCCCCATCACACCAAGGTGGCCAAAGAGAGCCAGTTGGTGACCCCAAAACTGCCAAGCCCCACTGCGCAGACAGGCCAGACTATCCCCCAGAGCCAAGCCTCTTCCCTCAGGTACACTTTGAACCTGGATTCTTCCCAAGATGGGTCATCTTGGGCATGAGCAGGGTAGGTCACGCAGGGCAGAGCCCAGAAGTGGATGTGCTCTGCAGACTAGAGAAGCAGAGGAGGAGGAGGTGGCATTCCTCCCCACGGGCAGTGCATTGTCTCTCAGGGGTCTGTCCGCATGCCAAATGTGTGCCGTAGCTTTGCTGTGGTGGGAAGGCAGTGCAGCTTGTGTGGCTTCTTCTGGCTCGGGGTCAGCAGAGACAGCAGCGAGGTGGCCAGTCCAGCCCCATGAGGGTGAAGGACAGTTTCCCTGATGTGGAACACGCATGGAGCACACTGGCTCTGTGGGCTGCAGAGGCCCATTGCTGCTCCTGGCCATGCTGGGGGCTTCCCAGAGGTGCTCACTGGGAGCCACACCTTGCCTAGCTGTCCATGTGTGCCAAGGGGTGTCCCAGCACTGTGTGTCTACAGTGTCCCCTGTGTATATACATGGATATATGGTGCATACAGCAGGCTGAAGGTGGCAGCAGCTTCTCCTATGGTTGAGATGTCCTGTGGAGCTTTGCTGTGCTGTGTCCACGCCACTGTTTGAGGGGCCTGTGAGACACCTCACTCGGCAGCTTATGAGCTCTGAAGTTTGTACTGAAGTGTCAGCATTGGTGGCCCCAGGGGACGGGCCACCCGCTCCCCTTGTCCTCAGTCCCTGTGCAGTGACTGTCTGTGTGAGGGGCTCCCTTGTTCTTGGCCTTTAACCTTCTCCAACTCTTTCTTCCAGATGTTTGGACCCCCCTCACTTATCCCTCAGATATTTACCCATGGAGAGCAGGTATTGTCCCGCTGGCGTTTCCCTCATCCTTCCTCATGGAGCTTTCTCGGGTCAGTGGGGACACCCACGGTGGGGTGTGAGGCAGCTTCTGGAGTCAGCCCATGCCCAGGCCAGCAGCAGGAGGAAGAGGAAAAGAGGAGGAGAAGGAGGCAGCAGGCACTGCAGGGCAGATGGAGAGCTTGGTCCTGGACCCAGCAGGGGCTTAGGGACGTCAGTTTTAGAGGGGAAGCAGATGCACTTCTTGAGCTATGGAGCTCAGATGCCAAAGCTGGGCAGGATCAATGTCCTTGAGTGTCAGGAGAAAGAAAGGGTCAGGAGAGATAGAAGTGGGCAACAGGGCCAGTCTTAGCATCTCTCACCTGTATTTCAGAATAGTCTGCTCTGGCCTGGCTCTGGTTTGATCTGGCTGAGCTTCTTGCAAGTCCAAGTTTGCCCAGCTACTGCCATGGGCAGGGCTGGGGCATTGGGGAGGGAGGTGGGGGCAGTGGCAGAATTGCCCCTGCCCAGTCTACTGCAGTTGGCTGCTGAGCCCTCTCCTGGCCCTCACTGCAGATGAGGCTGGGATGGGTTCTGAGGTGCCACCCAGACCCAGCCCAGGCAGCCTGTCCCTGGGCAAGGGTGGGGGCTGTCCCCCAGCCCACACCTCCTCCTTTCTCTCTCCCCATCTCCCCCCATCAGGAGCTTGCCTGCCCTGGTGGGGTCTCCCACCTGTGCTGGGACAGGGGGACCTGGCAGATGCTGGACTAGGATTTTAGCCTCACGTGCTCTCAGCCTCACCATCAGGGGCTGGGGGATGTTTCACAGGCACTGCTGCGGTAAGTCTCTCCTACTCCACAAGCAGGGACGCTCTCGCCTCCAAGGAGGGCCTCCTCTTCCCTCTTGCAGCAGAGAGCCCGGGCACCTTGCACCCCAGCAGCACCAACCACTGCACCTCCCGCGGCACCTGCCACGAGCAGGACCACGCAGGAGTGGCAGCAGGGCGAGGAGCAGGAGGGAAGAGAAGGGCGGCCCGCAGGCAGGGGCTGACTGAGGCTGCCCCTCTTCCCGTGCAGGCACCCGAGCCGGAGCTGGGGGAGCAGTACGAGGCGGTCTGCGACCCGACCTACAGCGAAGCCGAGTCGGCGGCTGCGGAGGTGCTGGACCTGCCTCTGCCCAGCTACTTCCGATCCCGGAGCCACAGCTACCTCCGCGCCATCCAGGCGGGCTGCTCCCAGGACGAGGACACGGGCTCCGTCCGCTCCATCTCCCCGCCCCAGACGGGCAGCCTCAGCGGCAGCAGGACCCTTCCCACCAACAGCAGTAAGTGCCGGTCGCAATGAGGGACCAGGGGACGGGGCGGAGGCCGGGGGGGAGAGGGGACAGAGGACGCTGCTGTTGGCCGCCTGGGAGCTGTCGAGCATGCGAGGCACTGAGCTCAGTTTCCTGCATCCCCAGCCATGGCTGTCTGTGACTTCTATGGGCTTATGGGGGCTTGCTCTGTGCTGGAGAAGGTGGCCAACAGCTGGTTGCGGGTCCTGGAATGACACACAGGCTCCGGGTTCTGCATCAAAAGAAGTGTCGGCAGCAGGTCAAGGGAGGGACTTCTTCCCCCCCCTCTACTCTGCTCTCATGAGACCCCACCTGCAGGGCTGCCTCCAGCTCTGGGGTCCCCAACATCAGAAGGACATGGAACTGTTGGAGCAAGTCCAGAGAAGGCCACGGAGATGCTCCAAGGGCTGGAGCACCTCTGTTCTGGAGCCAGGCTGGGAGAGCTGGGGGTGTTCTGCCCAGAGAAAAGAAGGCTTCAGGGAGACCTTAGAGCACCTTCCAGTGCCTAAGGGGGCTGCAAGGGAGCTGGAGAGGGACTTGGGACAAGGGCCTGGAGGGATCGGGCAAGGGGCAATGACTTCCCACTGCCAGAGGGCGGGGTTAGATGGGATACTGGAAAGAAATATCACAATGTGAGGGTGGGGAGGCACTGGCACAGGTTGCCCAGAGAAGCTGTAGCTGCCCTATGCTGGGAAGTGTTCAAGGCCAGGTTGGACAGGGCTTGGAGCAACCTGGTCTGGTGGAAGGTGTCCCCGTCCATGGCAGGGGGATGTGACTGAATGATCTTTGAGGTCCCTTCCAACCCAAACCATTCAATGACTCCATGCTGGGATCTGTCTGGCATGGCTGGCACAGCCTGTAGAGGTCCACGAGAGCTCCATACCTTTGTTCAGTCAAGCCAAACCTGAGCCTGAGTGCTGCAGCTGGACCCCCTTCTGGGACCCCCACCTTGCCCAGAAGCACTGGCCTCCCTCTGTGCCCTAACCCCTCCAGGGTTGTGAGGGCAAGGGAACCTGCAGCACAGGCAGCAGCCCTGCTGCCCTACACTAGGAAGAGCTTCCATCCTCCTCCTTCTCCTCACCACAATGCATCTCTCGTTGCTCCAATCCGGGCTGCTGTTGGCAGGTTTAACCTCTCTCTGAAACTCTTGGGAACAAAACTCCATCAGAGATTGCACTGGCTTCCCCAAGGTCTGCTTGTATCCAGTCTCTGCAGCCCCATCAGCCAGAGGCAGGAATTGGGGCTGTGGGAAGAGGGAGGGCAGGAGGTGTTTGCCTCCATCCCTCAGTGGTGGAGGTGTGACAAGGCTTCGGGGCTCACCATGAACTTCTTTGCAGGTTCTTGCACAGGCAGGACTCCCAGAAACAAGTCTTTCTAATCAGAGCTTGGGAAAAAAATAAATGGTGAGAATTTGCCCCTTCCATATCCACAGGATTTTTGATTTTGCCCAGCAGAGCCACAGGCAGGTCTGACCCTGCCCAGAAGCCCGGGCAGCCTGGATCTGAGCCCGGGACCCTTCCCCTGCAGGCAGGGTGACAGAGGTGACAGGCAGACAGCATCACCCTAGTGCACCCCGCCCTGGGGCTGCTACGTAGAGACTAGTCTCAAAATGTCTACAGTGAGATCCTGGGAGTTCATCCCTTGTCTGAACTGACTCCAACTGCTTTCTTTCCCATGACAGAATCAGAGGAGCCATGTAGGTGTCTGACAAATCAACTCCTATTTTCCCCTCGCCATCAATGGAGACTCCGTTGCAGCCTTCCAGTATCTAAAGGGGCTTATTAAAAAAGAGATAGAGGGACTTTTTACACAGGCAGATAGTGATAAGACAAGGGGAAATGGTTTTAAACTAAAAGAGGAGAGATTTAGATTGAATGTTAGGAAAAAGTTCTTTACTCAAAGGTTAGTGGGGCACTGGAACAGGTTGCCTAGAGAAGCTGTGGCTGCCCCATCCCTGGAAGTGTTCAAGGCCAGGTTGGACAGGGCTTGGTCTAGTGGAAAGTGTCCCTGCCCATGACAGAGGTTTAGAATTGGGTGAGCTTTAAGGTCCCTTTCAACCCAAACCATTCTGTGACTCTATCATGACAGATAGTGAGACCCTAACATCTCTGGCAGTGGGGTAAGAACAGGTCTTCTGCTGAGTTTCAAGGCACTAACGAGCCTTCCTGAGCCCCAGAGCCCAGCACCCCTGTGCTGAGCCATTGCAGTTGTCCCTGGCTGCAGACACCCACTGGGTGCTGGAGGCCAGGATTATTCATCTCATCTCTTGATTAGGAATTACTATACTGGACAAGAGCCTGGCCTCTCCCTGCAGTGTTAGTCAGGACTGACTCCATGCCCCGGGGTCAGGGTGAGGCTGTGGGCAACCGTGTTCTGCTGGTTTCTCTCCAGCCCGGCCATCTCTCCCAGTAGGCTGCTCCCAGTTCCGCGCCAGCATGGGGCCCTTTCCCAGATGCCTGGCCAGAGCTGGCTGTGCCTCGGGCTGAGCCCTCCCCTTCCCGCATGGCCAGAGCACCCAGCACCTCTGGGATGACTGGGGGAGCTGCCTGCACTCCCTGTCAGGACCACTCTGCCCTCCCCAGTGCTGCCCCAGGCACTTAGCACTCAGGTGGGAAGCAAGGAAGGCAAGTATTTGCCCCAGGATGTTAATACAGCACTGCCAAGCCCATCACTAAACCATGTCCCTGAGTGCCTCATCCACATGTTTTTTGAACACTCGCTCACAGAATTCATAGGAAGTTCACAGAATATTCTAAATTGGAAGGGACCCACATTTCTGGGGGTAGTGCCTCCACCTCTGCCTTGGGCAGCCTGTTCCAATGCCTGACCACCATTTCCATGAAGTAACTTTCCCTATTATTCAATCTAAACCTCCCCTGGTGCAACTTGAGGCTATTTCCTGTCATCCTGTCACTTCCTCCGTGGGAGCAGAGACTGAACCCCACCTGTCTCCCCTCTCCTGTCAAAGAGTTGTAGAGAGTGAGAAGGTTCCCCCTGAGCCTCCTTTTCTCCTGGATGAGCCCTCACCGCTCCCTTAGCTGCAACTTGTGCTCCAGACCCTTCCCCAGCTCCGTTCCATTCCCTGGACATGCTCCAGCACCTCAATGTCTTTCTTGCCGTGAAGGGCCTGAAAAAGTGAGCCCAGGATTGGAGGCATGACCACAGTGCAGGGGAATGGTCACTGCCCTGCTCCTGCTGGCCACTCTAGGACTGGTACAAGCCAGGATGTCATTGGCCTTCTCGCTTACCTGGACACATGCTGGCTCGTGCTCAGCTGCTGTCAACCAGCACCCCCAGGTCCCTTTCCTTGCATCTGTGCATCTAAGTGGTTAGTGGTGTAGGAGAGGGGCCTCCCAAGCAGCAGGTTGGTACCTCAGCTTGGCAGCATCAATCTGGACCAACAGAGAGAAGTGGATGCACCGTCACCTGCAGGTGCTCATGGCAAGGCTCCACGCAAGACTCTGGGGTGAAACAACTGAGAGCCCTCACCTGCTTACATCCCATCCTCCTGTACCCAGAATCTGTGCACCAGCCCAGAGGAATGGGAACCACCATGGGCCCAGTTCCCAGACAGGGGTTTTGGCTTTTGTCTCTGTTAGGACACATCCTTAAGAGGCACCAGCAACAGCAGTGCTGGGGCTGACACAGGCTTCTCGCTCCTTGAGGGTAGGTGGGGGTTGGATCTTAAAGCAAAAGGATTCAGGCACCATCTGAGGGCAAGATGGTACAGGAGGGGCAACAAGCTCCATTTCAGAAGAGGGCCAGTCCCGAGGTCTGTGTGGGGAACACAGCCAGGGGAGAGCCCTGACAGCTGTCAAACCTCTGCCACAGCTCTTCCCATTAATGCCTGTGTCACCGGCAGATTACAAAGCAATTAGCTCCCATTTGACAGCCAGCGAGACAGATGATGAGCTGCCCTTGATCAGCCTTAAACAAAGCTTTGTGCCTTGCTCAGCCGGAGATTCAAAAGCCCCAGTGGAACCTATTCCTCTAATTGCCAGGCGTGTGGTGACAGCCACGCCGGCCGGGAGCATCACAAAGGGATCCCCAGCTCCTGCTTAGTAGAGGCAGCTGTGGGAATTGCTTGTTTAATAGACTACTTGCAATGCAGAGTGGAATATTTGATATCCAGGGAAAACAGGAAAGCAGAGGTGAGCAAAGCAAAGACAGCAGGGAAAGCTAACACCAAGCCAGTTCCTGCTTGAGCTCTCCCCAGTCCCCAGTGTGCCATCTGGTAACTGCACACTTGCTCAGAGCATCCTGCCCTGGGATTTGGCAGCCTGATCCCAGAAAGCCCACGTTCCCAGCTTCTTATCCTGTGTCCAGATCTCTTCAAGGGAGGGCAAGGCTGCATGCATCTTCTGGCCCATCCAAATGCCAGAACTTTGCCAAGCCCAGGCTGGGCATGAGAGCACTAACCAGGAGAAATACTCCTAAGGTTGGGACAGAATAGCTGCCTTCTGCCTCCCACCTACTTCCTGTCTTCTTTGTGTTGCTTTTGTTTCCCTTTTTATCACTAAATTGGAGAGCTGGCTCGTAGGCCCATGGCTGTGCTGGGAACCCTGCCCTGTCCCAGGAGAAGGCAGGTGCCAGCCTGGTCCCCTGGCACTGATGCTCTTTTGCAGGGGCAGCGGGGCCGTGCTTAGTGGAGGAAGGACAAAGTGCCTGCACACACTTGTGCGGTGTCACGGCATTGTGCTGGCCCAATCTCCAAGGGTTGTCTCACTGTGGAATGAGTTTCCACAGCTTCTGGGAAAGCCATGTGGCTTCTGAGAAAGTCGTGTAGCTCTTCCTCCTCCTCCTCTGTGCGCAGTGAACTTGGTTTCTGTGTAGGAAGGTGATTTTTGTTCCTCTCAGCTGTCATGGCCTTCTCTTCTGTGTGGGAAAGAAGCAGTGGCGTGAAGGCAAAGAGAACTCACACCAGGCCAGGAGCCATTGCTCCACCTGCGCATGAGCGTCCAGGGCTGAGGGATGAAGCCACTGCAGCCCCT